CCAGTATTGTATTCTTAATTTCTGATTAGTTCTTTTTTATATTTTCCAATTCTTTGTTGAAGAATTAATCCATTATTCTCCCAAGATCAGTGAGCATCCTTATAACTTTTCGTTTGAACTCTTTATCAGCTAGATCGCTCATTTCTGTTTCATTTAGTTCTTTTCTATGGGTTTTGTCTTGTTCCCTTACTTGAAATGTATTCCTTTGCTTCCTCATTTTCCCTCTTTCTCTATGCTTATATCTATGTATTATGTAGGTCAGCTATGTCTCTTGATCTTGGAAAGTTTGCCTTATGTAAGAGATGCCTTATGGGTCCCAGTAGCGTGCTTCCCTCTTTTCACCAGTTCCCAGTGTTCCAGGAGTGACCCCCGTGTAGGCTACATGAGTCCTTCTGTTGTGGAAGGGTTGCTCTTGCTGCAGGGTCCCAGGAAGGTTGGGATCCTGGCTGGCTGGTTGTATTGTTCAGCTGCATGTGGCTGCTGTGGACCCTTTGGTCACTTTATTAGGTGTAGGGGGCCCTAGCACAGTTGGTTGTAAGGTCTAGTAGCACATTCCTGTTGTGATTTTTCTGTTAAGTGAGTAGGCCCCCAGCGTGGCTGGTTGTTAAGCTCAGGGGCTTACAATAGCTGTAGGCCTCCAGGCTACAAGGCTCTTGTCCACTCTCTCTGGGTTGCAGCTGAGTGGGGCTGGCCCAAGGCATGGGAGCACCCAATTGCTTCAGGCTGTGGAAGGTGGGACCATCTCCTATGTGGCTGTTTGAGAAGCACAAGTCTTGTGCAGCTGACAGGCCCCACCGCCGACAGGGCCACACACCCCATCAATACAGTCTTGCTCTGTATGTGTGCCCTGACCCCCCGAAGCAGACCCAGTCACCCCAATGCAGAGGCTCCACATGCTCTACCCACTCCTCATGCACGCTCTGCCTGCAGAGGTGGACCCACTCACCAGGCTGCAGATGATCCAGGCACCCAGCCTATGCAGGCCCACAAGTTGCCAAAGGGCTTGCTGTTGTTTGGGGCCAGTTCCTAGGGCAAGGTGCCTACTCTGGCTTATCTGGATTAAATTGGTGCTGTAGTGGGTGGGGAAGACACCTTCACTAAAAGGCCAGGGGAAGAACTCCAATGGTGTCTACCAGGATCTGTGTCATCACTCCTCTACTAGGTCACAATAATGGCTTCTGCCAATGTCTCATCCCCAGGACAGGTCTCACCTCTCACTAAGATGCAGCCAGAGCCTATCAGGTGAGTCTCTTTTCACGAGAGGACTATGCACCTTTCTTTCTGGTGATTTTATGCTACTTTCTGAAACAGGTGAATTTGTGCATGGGCCCTGTGCATGGGCCCTAGCATGGGCTAGCTTTTCTTTCCTTATGTCTGATAGCTCTTTAGGTGGTATTCCCCATTGTTGTTAGCAGCCAGCAAAGCCAGACACTATGACACTCATCTCGGTTGTACTGGGACCAAAGATACTTATAGTGGTAATGCTCCCGTGCTCAGGTCCCCTGCTCCTTCAGGCAGGGCTGTGTACTTTGCATTGCTCCTGGCCAGCCAGGAAATGCTGTGAATTGTGAAAGTGGCCTTTTTTCTCTCCAGAGAGGAATATCTGCCTCTTCCCCCTCAGTCAGGACTGTCTCTTATTCTGGGGGTTCTTTTTGTCCAGTTTTCAGTTCTCTCTTGGGGGTAATTGTTCCAAAAGTAGCTGTAAATTTGTTGTGTCCATGGGAGGAGGTGAGTTCAGAGTCTTCCTACACCACCATCTTGACACCAACCCCCGTGTCTGGTTTCTTTTGCTCAAAATTATGTTGGTGATGTTAATCCATAATGACATTGTGGAACATATATTTAAATAAAGGAAATACCATAAAGAGATGATCAGCCTCAAAACCAAGAGAGAATTATACATTTAAATGACACAAGATAACACTTTTCATTATTAAAGATTTTATTGACAAAGTCAAACAGATTGTAACACACTGTAGTGATAAAGACATGAGGAAGCAGGCACTCTGGAACATTGTTATTTGGAGTTGATAGGTGTACAACTTCTATTTATGCATTAAATACTTAGTAACATTTAGTGTACATACCTTTTGACACAGAAATTACATTGCTAAAGACGATAAAGATATGCTCTATGGTAAATGATACTGTATTAAGTGTTATTCATTGCCACATTTTTCTGTAATTGCAAAATTTTAAGAGAAACCTAAATATCCATTGAAACAAAATGGATTAAATTTTGGTACATCCATTTAGTGTAATACCTGCAGCTGTTTACAAAAAGCGAGGCAGCTCTTTATGTACTGATATGGAACAATCTGCAAGATATATTTTTAAATAAAAAAATAAAGAAGCAAGACTATTGTTTACAGTTATGTAACATCTGCTTTAGCAGATAGTATGTATATGGTTGTACTTTGCTAGAATATCTCTAGAATAATATCTAAGAAACTAGTTAAATTTTTGCCTCTCAGAAGAGAACTAGGTGACTAGGGAACAAGATGGGAAAAGAGAATTTGTTCATCATTTTGTACCTCTTAAATTTTGAACAGGGTGAATGTATTCAATCTCTATTCAAATAAATGTAATTAAATGACTAAGAAAAATATAGTATCTTTCACTCAATCAAAATGATTTATTTTCATGTTCTCTGATTTATTAGTTCTTGAGATTTCAAAAAATATTCTTATTTTTTGGATTTATTTAATTTTACTAGGTATAAAACTTCTTGTTTTATCATTGCTTTACCCTTGCTCAGGTATGTATAATTCTTCATAAATAATGCACACTTGACTAATTTGAGTGAATATCGTATTTTTCCTAACCATTATTAAAGAATGAAAATGTTAAGACTTCGATTATAGTCATTTTTTAATATCAAGACAGATAAAATTCTTTTCACAAATGAAAGGAAACTCTCGAGTACAAACAGCAGTAGCAATACTTGCTGACTCGATGTGTCCACATTTTGCGTTACGTGTAGTCTGTTGAAAATTCCTGCATCAGAGAATACATTTATTTTAAACGTAATTCCTTAGGCAAAATTTCATTATCACAAATTTAAAATATGTGTGTGTAATTATTTCAATGGACTTAAAAATCTTGTGAGAGATATATAGCTGTAAAATTATAAAGTATAATTATATCTAAAACTAACAGAAATATTGCCAATGGACAATAGAGCAAGGGAAGGAGTAAAAGAAAGGGAAGCATTGGATGGGATGTATACATAAATTAGACACCTACATTTGAAAAATTCTTTTGTGACTTCCAAAACTTCTTGGAATTGACTAAATATGACAAATTTATTTTGTGACATATGGTAACTAGATATAAAAATATTCCCAGTTTCCTATGACTCAGACTAAGGCACATAGAACACATGTTTCCTATGCTAGCCTTACTTTGAGTATAGAAGGTGCTTATTTGCATTTAGAACAAGAGTGTACTTTTTTTCCACTGAGCCTAATTTCTTCCACACCAAACAAAGCATTAAAATTTTGTGAAATTGAGCAATGAGAATAGAGAATAATGATTTTAAATTATAGGGCTAGGCTACAACATACAGAAGAAAATGTTAAGTTAAATTTTCCTCCAAATGTTCATGAATCTAACTGATAGTCAGTGATAATTTCAAGTAACAAAATTATCAGTGGGAAGGAACCAATCTTTTAAATTCTGCTGCTTATTTCAATAGCCCTCTTTTTTAAGGTATCCCATTATCCTACATGCTCTTTCATGGTTTTTCTCTTAGCTCTATAATGACTTTTCTCAGTAATGTTTTCTGGTTATCCTCATCTCCCCATTATCTTAAACATTTGGGTGTCCAAGGGCTCATGCCTTAGATTTCCTGATGATCACTTCCAGCCTCATAGTATTAACACTGTCTATACACTGATATGTGCTAAATGTGCATCCGCAGCACAGATCTCTCGTTTGAACTTCATAACCATGTAGCAAAATGCTCATCTGATATCTTCATAGAGATCTAAATGTTTAATAGATTTATGAAATATATCTACAACTGATCTTCAGAAATTCCCCGTAAGAGTTAATGGCAACATCATTTTTACAATTTCTGGAACAAAAACTTTGGAACCATCCTTGGCTTCTCTGTCTCTCACACATCTTTGAAATGTGTTTAGAATCTGGTCATTTTTCACCAGCAGCAATGCTGCCAATCTTCACCAAGCCACCATCACTTCTCACCTGGATGACTTTAGCTCTGCTCCCTGCATCCCAGTTTATACTGCCTCCCCTCCACACACACACACAATCTAATCACATCAGAGTACCCAGAGGGAATCTTCAGAACAGGAACTGCTTTTTGTCACTCCTCTGCTCAAAACCCTCCAATAGCTTCTCATTACACTTAACAAAAAAAAAAAAAAAAAAAAAATTCTTACAATGACCTCTGATGTCCTACATGCTTTCACTCTTATTACCTTTCTGACCTGCTTCTCTCCCCGTTGTCGCTGTGCTCCAGTATCACAGGCCCTCTTGCTTTTTCCTCAAGTATACTAAATCCAATCCCACCTCAAGCTCTTCAAACCAGCTATTTTTCCTGCTAGGATCCTATCCCATCTGATTAGCCCACATAGCTTGCTCAGTCAAGTCCTTGTACAAACATCACTATCTCAGGGAGGCTGTCTCCGAACACCCTATTTAAAACAGTGAAATCTCTTCCTCTTACCTCCATACACAAAAAAGTACTTTGTGACATAACAAGAACTAAGGGACTGTATATGACTCTATAACATTTCTGATCTGTTATGCTATATAATTGACTTGGCATATGTTGTTTTTTGTCATTCATCCCCTACCACCACTACCATCCCTTTATTAGATTTAAGACCCATAAGAGGAGGATATTTTGGCATGTTTATTCATTGCTATGGCTTCAGTTACGAGAAGAGTGCATGGCACATAGCGGGCACTCAATCAACAGCATGTTAATTAGTCCATTGCTAATAGCTCATTTTCCCCCCCATGTTACTGAAGTTTAATTACAACAGGAATTTTTTCTTCGTTTTCTAAACTACCTTCCTGACATCCACCAACAAATCTATGCTAACTTACTAATGAGAGAGAACTATCAGGAATCTTGTGGACTTGTGAAAAATAATGGCAAGAATGATATTGATTACCACATTAGATATTCAAGATTACTAAATGATTTATTTGGAAATGGATCTTTCTTTAGTTCTTAAATGACACCAAGTAAACAGCTACCCATTTCACTTAGAGGGAGGGCTGGGGTTAGATACAACTTTTCTGTAATAGTTATATTTTTACCCTTTCTTCCAAGTGTATCTGTCAAAACAACTAGTATCATATAATATACAAGAGACAGATACAAAAGCAAAATGTAATTTTACTGTATTTGGAAGGACTCTCCATTAAAGAACAAGGAAAGAAATACTGGTCTTTAGGGCCTGAGATTTGCATTTGGTTGTCTATCTGAGACGTGAGGTCAAATGGAATTAAAGATGGTCCCTAATCCCTGAGAATCTTTTGTTCTTGGCCTATATTTTATGAATCAGTTACTGAGAAAAAACAGAGGGGGAAGACTATGAAATGAAAACTTACAGGTTCTGAGATGGTGTTGAGTCATCCTGCCACATCCAGGGATGATTAGCTCCTTTTTTATGTAATCCAACCCAATATTTATATTTTACCTTTGATTGAATGAAGAGCTGTGGGAAAATCAGAACTAGTGTATTATTCATAATGTCAATGATAACACTTTACCCATAGAGGACTCGCATAAAATACTGGGTGCATTTGTCTTCAAACGCCCTTATGATAAATGGAGCAGGAACTAATTTCTCTATTGTGTAGAGAAGAATTGGAAGTGGAAAGCCCTCAGTGAATGAATCACCCAAGTCTTGTGAATGAATGAAAAATATTAAGAAAGGGACATAATGGAATTAAAAAAAAAATCTCCACGTATAATAGAATAGATAGGTAAATGTGACTGCACTAAACTTAGAATGTGTCTTCATCAGAAGGCATCTCAAAGAGTGTGAAAAATAAGCTTCAAATCTGAAAATATCTGCAGTACTTTAGTTTAAAGAACAAATAAAATATTTTTTAAATCAATAAGAAAACAAAATTACTCAATAGGAAAAAATGGACAAATATCAAAAATAGATATTTCATAGGAAAATAAACACATGGTCAATAAATTTGGAAAGGTGCCAAGAGATCAGGGAAATGCAAATAAAGGCTACAAGGATATACTTTATAACTATACAATTGGCATAAATTAAGAATGACAACACCAAATTTGAGGGATGGTAGAGGTCAAAGAAGTATCTTTAAAACTGTTTCAAAAATAATGTTAAAAATAATTTAGAATTATCATATAAAATTGAACTTTTATATATCCTATTATCCAAGGATTCTACTCTTAGAGTGATTTATGATGAAAAGAATAGAGGACATATGGAAAAATATTGCACAGAGATTTGTCTAAGAATGTTTAATGAAGGATTATTCATACCGACAAAAATTGGAAACAACACAAATTCCTGTAGAGAATGAGTAAGTCTATTTATTTGGTGGAATATTACACAGCATTGAAAAAGAAGAAACTACAGCTACAAGTTTTAAAATAGATTGTCATTTATTTGCTGTATAAACTGAAGCAAATAAACTTCCTTGAGCATTTTCCTTATCTATAAAATGGGGACCATAATATCTGTTTTGAAGATCTTGTGAACTGAAATAATGCATGCAAAGTGTCTGAAACATCTTTAACATAAAATCAGTGCTAATTATTTTTAATTACTATTCCAATTGGTATATTTTATTTACTTCAAATATTGTTATGAATGCAAATGTGAAGCAATAAGCTAATTTTCTTTCCTAAAAGCAATGTATTTATTTTCTCTCTCTTTCTCTCACACACACTCAATATTTTTCAGTAAAATTAAATCGTATCAAAGGAAAATTGTAATAGTTTCTCTTTTACTGGCTAGGAAAAATATAAGGGTATTATATGTTTACTCTTATACATATATACATATGTACATACATACTGTATACATATACATAATGTATACGTATTATATGTATACATTACTGTATATATACGTATACATTATGTATATGTATACAGTAATGTATGTATGTATATGTATACATATAATAAGGGTAATGTATACATATAATAAGGGTAAGGGTCCAATGTATACAGTAATGTTGGAGAGTACAAATTCAACATACAAAATTCAGTTGTGTTTCTATACACTAACAATGAAACAGCAGAAAGAGAAAGCAAGAATACAATCTCATTTACAATCACAATGAAAAGAATAAAATATCTAGGAATAAATTTAACCAAGGAGGTGAAAGATCTGTACACTGAAAACTATAAAACATTGTTGAAAGAAATCAAAGAAGACAGAAAGAAATGAAAGATATTCTGTGCTCATGGATTGGAAGAGTTAACATAGTTAAAATTTCCATACTTCCTAAAGGAATCTACAGATTCAATGCAATCCCTATCAAAGTCTCAACAACATTTTTCATGGAAATAGAACAAAGAATCGTAAAATTTATATAGAACAACATAAGACCCTGAATAGCCAAAACAATCCTGAGAAAAAAAACAAAGCTGGAGGTATCACGCTCCCAGAATTCAAGATATACTACAAAGCTATAGTAATCATAATAGCGTGGTACTGACAGAAAAACAGACTCAGAGATAATTGGAACAGAATTGAGAGCCTAAAAGTAAACCCACATATCTGTGGACAGCTAATTTTCAACAAAGGAGCCAAGAACATACAATGGAGAAAGGAAAGTCTCTTTAATAAATGGTGTTGGGAAAACTGGACTGCCACATGTAAAAGAATGAAAGTAGACCATTATCTTACACCACACACAAAATTAACACAAAAAAGGATTAAAGACTTGAATGTAAGACCTGAAACCATGAAACGCCTAGAAGAAAACATGGCAGTACACTCTCTGACATTGGTCTTGGAAACATATTATCAAGTACCATGGCTGACCAGGAAAGGGAAACAATAGAAAAAATAAACAAATGGGACCACATCGAACTAAAAATCTTTTGCATAGCAAAGGAAACCACTGACAAAACAAAAAGGCAACCTACCACTTGGGAGAAGACATTTGCAAATCATATAACTGATAAGGATTTCATATCCAAAATATATGAAGAACACATACAACTCAACAACAAAAAAGCAAGCAGATTGATCAAAAACTGGGCAGAGCATGTGGACAGACATTTTTCCAAAGAAGACATATAGATGGCCAACAAGCACAAGAAAACATGTTCAACATCGTTAATTATTAGGGAAATGCAAATCAAACCTCAATGAGATATCACTTCACGCATCAGAATGGCTATTATTAAAAAGACAAGGAATAACAAATGTTGGAGAGGATGTGGAGAAAAGAGAACCCTCATACACTGCAGGTGAGAAGGCAAAAACGTGCAGCCACTATGAAAAACAGTATGGAGATTTCTCAAAAAAATTAAAAAGAGAACTACCATATGATCCAGCTATTCTACATTTGACTATTTATCCAAAGAACACAAAAACAGTGATTCAAAAAGATATACACACTCTTGTGTTCATTGCAGCATCATTCACAATAGCCAAAACTTGGAAACAACCTAAGTCCCCATCAACGGATGAAGGAATAAAGATGTGGTGTATATATAATGGAATGCTACTCAGTCATAAAAAAAGATGTACGATGATGGATGGCAATTAAATTTTTGGTGGTGAACATCATGTACTCTATACAGAAGTGAAAATAAAATGATGTACACCTGAAATTTATATAATGTTATAAACCAATGTCATCTCAATAAAAAAATAAATTGTAATATCTATATATACGTTACCATTTCTAGGTCTCTGAAGAAGTACTAAAATTAAATGTCCATTAATTCTTTGATTCACATTTTTTTGCTAGGTGTTAGTGGTATACATAAATGTATAAAAGTCAAAATCTGTTTTCAAATATCAGTAGATTTAAGTCACTTCTTTAATTACTCTCTCAGACTTTGTAAAGCAAAAGACTGAAAATCTAAACCAGTAGTGTGAAAGTAATACTGTTCAACAAAGTCTGTCCCAGTGTTTGTATAGTGTATCAGTATTCCAGTTTTAGATAGACAGCAAAATTGTCACGAAATGAGGTAAGAGAGTATGAAGCCTAGCTTTTGCTCTAATCAACAGCAAAAATTTCAAGAAATTTCAAAGGAGCTAGAATAGTTCACGGAAATACAAGGATGACAGATATAAGCATTTTCACTGAAACTCTGAAAGTTCAGAAACATCAATAGCAGGAATAAAAATAAAGAAAACGGAATTGGAAATTACAAATAAAATATGGATTATAAATAATGTTAATTGCCTGAGAGTAGAAAAAACTGATATCATTTAGGAATTGATTGATAACAACTGAGGTTTAAACTGATCAAGGTACTTGTAAGCTACATCTGGATTTTTGGATTTCTTTGACTTCATATTCTATTACCTAGTTCATTTTTTATAGTAAAGAGTGATTCATTCACACTATTATTTTATATTGTTTTTTGTGTATGTGTTTGAGGAAAATCAGCACTGAGCTAACATCCGATGCCAATCCTCCTCTTTTTTGCTGAGGAAGATTGGCCCTGGGCTCACACCTGTGCCCATCTTCCTCTACTTTACATTGGACACCGCCTCAGCGTGGCTCGACAGGCTGTGCATCGGTTTGCGCCTGGGATCTGAACCTGCGAACCCTGGGCCGCCCAAGTGGAGCGCACACACTTAACAGCTGCACCACTGGGCTGGTCCATATACTATTATTTTAATAATAAGAATTTTATAAATAAGAAAACATAGGGTTTTTAACTCATTCTTCAAAAGACACTAATAGAAATAACATTGCTAGCACTAAATACTGTAAATGGAATTCAGTGCCTAAATTGAATCAATAGAAGGAAATCTACAAAATCTGTTAGGTTGGCTTTATAGTCCCAAATCTTATAAGCAATGGCAACTGTGATCTAGATTTCCTCTCCTAGAAAAGAGAAGCTTCCTCTGTCATTCCGGATTATGAGTAAAACAAAAAATCATCTTTGAAGAATCATTCCAGTTATATTCATTCGCTTTAGTTTTCATTCTATATATTTAATGCCATGAAAGTGAGAGTCTCATCTTCCCTTAGAACTGTGATCCCTCCCAAATATTGATGATAGAAGAATAGAACTTAGTACAATGAGAATTTGTCTCTTTTAGACTACTCACATCATTGAAGGCAGTTTTTCTTTTGCCCTCTACCAGCCCCAAGAGGCTCAATACTGAACAGTCTGATGTATACTAAAATGTGAAGATGCAACACATATAATAAAAAGACTGAAAATTATTCCACGGCACCCACAGCAAAGCTATTTCTCTTGGTTTAAGACAACAGTTCTTCCAGGTCTCTGTTACACCTCTGTCCCGTCCTCTGCAGGTAAATCAGCACCAGTATGTACAAGTGCTTCAAACTAAATTGGTCAAATAATATTGGAGGAAATCCTAAGCAGTTATCCTAACTCCAGACATATGATCATCTCATAAAGCACTTATGCAGGTTTAATAAAGTGAAGATACCTGCTCCTCTTTGTCATCAATCTTAATGAGTCTAGAATTCAGCTCTTGGCATGATGTCTTACTC